ATTCTATCACAGGGACCACTAAGTAGGCCTTGCAACAAGTCCCACTCAATTTGACCCCCCCCACGCTGAGAAAAATTCGCTCAAAGTTGCACGCGGAGAGCGATTTCGTACGCGCGGACGACTCCTTCAGTCTCCCCCCTTACGCGTTTGAATACGTCCCTCCACTTAGCATCCACCTTCCCTCTGTTGCTGCCACTGTGGCTGAGGCTGAAGTTGGAAGGTACAACTCGTCCATGTTGCTTCCACGGGGCCTCCAGAAAACGGGGTTTTTGGGAACTTCGTGCGATTTTAAGCCCATACAGTGCTAGACAGGGTCCGACAGGCTTGCAAAATGCAAAAATCTCGGCAACTAAATTTTGGTGAGACACCGCCTGATCCAAGGCCAAAATTTCAGATTTCTAAATTTGTTTAAGGGTACCACTATACCACAATCATGTTTGCAGAAACTACCAGAATGTAGGTCATTTATAAAATTGTGACGACAGATTTGACTGCTGTTTTCGCGTCCACAGAATTAGAAAACACTCATGCAAAGAGGCATCACCTCATCTCTCAGCTCAGTCACTTCCAGTGTCTGAATGTTATCATATGTATGCAAGAGAACCATTCGAGTAGAAATGAAACAAGAAAATAGCGGTTGCTGGGTATACGTGCATATCGCGCGCAGTCGCGCCATCGTCACAATTTTTCGAATTCCCTATATACCGGAAAACTTTTTAGCTGCGTCTCATCTGCACATCATTTTTCTTTCTCTAACTGAAACATGTACCATCAGAGTTGATGCGCGAATTCGAGACTTCACTTGTGAGTTGCCCTCTTTTTAGCTTGCGATTGAGTTCCAAAGATTTACGAAAGCTGTTGGAATTTACCAAAAATAAGAAACTGCACTTAAATCTTGCATAGAGGAATGAGCACAAAAATGCTGGTTTATCCGTTAAGGAATGATTTCCAACGCCGGCGACGTTCTCAGTGCTTTGAGTTATAGTCGTGTCATGAAGATCAGAATGATAATAGGTTGATTCATAATTAATGCACGTTTTTCCCACCTTTTCTTCCAAGAGCTGGTACTTGATGTGTAATCAATTCCCTTTAAAACTTTTTAGCTATCTAAAAGAACGTTTTTTCTAGTTTCTTATGTGACCCTCGCTTTCGTACATCTCCGTTGATTCCAAAGTTCTGAGCCTTCAAACAAAAGAGACTAAATCCCAAATTTTTTGCTTTTCACTCTTTTTGCCCTATATCCATGAGGAACAGGGATTAATTATAAGAAATATGCTTAAGGATTAGCAAACTTTGTGCTACAAGATGCTTTTTGAACAAAACTCTCCATGAATTCTGAGCCGAAAAATTCAATTGCGAACTTTATTGATCGTCGCGGCCCTACTGTGCCATATAAAACTTTGAAGCAAAAGGCGATTGCAGGTCTGCACTATCTAGCAAGGGTAGACCTAGTTCATTTAATGGTAGAAAAGCGCCAGGGGTTTCTCACTTTCCAGCGGAGATAAATGAAATATTTTCAAAAAATGGCCGATTTTTGAACCCGCTGAGATGCCAGAAAAAAAAGTGAGCACCTTCGACCTTTTCGCGATATTTTTTTTCAAATTTTCCCGTAAAATCCAAGCTTGGCATTACTGCTCAGGAGACCCTTAGCTACATGATGAGAAAAGGCTGCTTCATCCTACTTCATTTAAACATAAGTAATGCTCTCTCAAAGTAGAGGCTTCTGAAAAAAGTTATTGGCAATATTCAGGCCAGAAAATCTTTTTGTGATAGATATAGTCACGCAAAAGTATCTGCTTTATAGAAACCGATTTGATGGTTACAGTAGTTTTTATTGCGCTCAAAAATGTCTTTTCAAAAAAGAATTATCTTGATTGAAAGTTGAAGTATAGAAAACGTGCATAAATTATGAGTTAACCTAATATATTAGGCTGGAAACTAAGTTTTGCAACTGGTTTCATAACTTCATTCTCTTTCGATGGCGCATTCAAACTTTGGCATTATGTAGAAGGCTATGTGAGCTACAAGTGAGCACAAATTGTCTAAATTTTGAACACGGAATAGAAAAGTTTCAGACTTTTTTCGAAAACTAGTGAAATTTGAGAATTTTTGGGGTTTCAAGCTAAAATAAAGCCTTTGGCAGCCTAGACCATGCGCAGTAATCCGGATTCGTCTACAAATTATTGCTGGAGGTTGACTCTTTTGGCTTAGTAAGAAAGAAACAAAATTCAGGGGCATGTCGAGATTTGGCGTCCTCACAAAGTCGAACGAGTCGATATACGCAAGAGCTGCTAGGGATGACCGTCAATGACTAAAGAGTCCGAAGCTTAAATTACACCGAGACTTTACATAGTAAGGTTATTAGACCTGCCAAACGTGAATATCATATTCATTTGTTGAATCAACGCTCTTTCCTTGTTTAGGGTGAGACCCCATAACGTACACCTACAGTAATCCTACAAAAAAGCCCTTATCACGCAATTTCACTGTCGCTTTCGTGATCAGCATGTCGAATAACACTCCTATGCCAAATTTCAGCCAAATCCGTCAAACTTTGAATTTTCCCCCTTCATACCATGCACCTACCGTAACCCTCACTGCGACGTCAGAATTTGGTAGGACAGCAGCTGCTCTTGTAGCTTACGTAAAAAAAACGCAGTGGCAAAATTTGAGTGCGCCATGTTGAGTGAGAGGGAAGTTATGAGACCAGTTGCAAAACTTAGTTTCCAACCTAATATTAGGTCGTTCCGAAAGTAGTGTCGCTTTTTTCAAACGTATGCCACATCTCGTGGTACAAAGATATGTAAGAGCTTCTGGTAGCAGTTGATGCAGCATTTCATTCTCTTTCTAATAGTTATGAAGTTGTTGCAATAAACTCAATGAGCTTCCAGAAAAAAGTCAAAATCTGCGACCTGTGCTTTTTGAGATGGGTTTCACAATTTTTCTAAAATTTTATAACAAACCTCAGAAGGAGTCCACTTAATGATTGGATGGAGCAAAGCCTACAGAAAACAGCAAAACTTTTTTCTACTTTCCAGAGCTCGTCATAATTTTTGTATAGATTTTTCGATGGAACCACTGAATTTTAGCATTCTCGCCTCAGCCACAAATGCATCAAACACCAATAAATCTTCGATTTTGAAACTTACAAAGATGGATTATGGTTGGGCAACAATTTTACAAACCAAACGAGCATGCACCCGGTTCGGTTTTAGCAACTTTCGAAAATTTCGGGTACACTTTGGGGTGCCTTGGAAAAGTTGGATTATGATGATTTTATCCCGGAAAACTTGTTGAATCGGAAACAAAAAGCGACCGCTAGAAAGAGGAGAAAAAGCTGCATCGAATGACACACAAGTCGCCTGCCGGTTGTTGTTCTGTGAGGTTTGACTTGTTGATGGCATTGAGAAATTGATTGCAGAAACTCTAAGAAGCAAGCTTAGGAAAAGAAAAAACTACTCTATGTTCTATAGTGTTTGCTCTATCTACCTGGCACTTGTACTTTTTAGGAAAATAGGTACAAAAATTTGAAAAAATAGCAGAACTTGACCATGGCAAAAAGCATGAGTAGCAGATTTTGGTAATTTTTCGAGAGCTCTTTAAACATTATGAGTGGGATTAAAACCATTAGGAAGAAGATGAAATGCTGCATCGAATGCTCCTAAGATATCTTGAAAATGTTGATTCCACGAATAGTGGCGTTCATTCGAAAAAAGCAACATTATTTTCGGAACGTTCTTGAACAATCAGAAAGCCCTTTTTTTAGTTTATGACCTACACTTTGGTTTTGAAAATTTTTGTTCAAACCAAAGTTCCCCAACTTCAAAGGTGAGGTGCTCAAATTTGAAATTTTTTCCTTTCATTCGACTTGCCCTTAATTCAAGAAAGATGCTCAGATTTGTTTCAAAAAATATGTGTTATAATCGCGAAGATTTGTGCTACAAAAAGCTTATCAAGGCCAAATTTTTTAGAAATTTTGAGCCCACAAGCTTTGACTCAAACTTAGCTGGTTGCTGGGATCACTCCGAGCTCTATAAAATGCATAAATGAGAAAATTAATAACTATCAATGTTAGAAGAATGGCAGAATCTCCTTGTTTTCCAAATGAGAAAAATTAGGAGGAATCTAAAAAAGCGCGCTTTTTTGCCTTCTCCAAACAGGAAAAAATAGTTCTTTTGCTCTTGGCGAATTTTTTTTCGCAGAAAATTTTCGGTAGAACTCAAGTTCTACGCTAATATTGAATCGACCATCGTCTATACAATGAGTAACTTTGCTTCATTCCAGTTCTTCTGAGAGTAAGTCATGCTCTTTCCAACTAGAGCCTTCCAAAAAAAATTTTTTTGGTAATTTTTGAGCCGGAAAATCTTTCCCATAATGTGTACAATCACGTGAAAGTATATGTTATATAGCTAAAGATTTGCTGTTTATAATAGTTTTTTATGCGCTCAAAAATATTGTTCTGGAAAAGAATTAACTTGATTAGAAGTGGAGGTTGAGAAAACGTACATAATTATGAACCAACCTAATATTATGTCGCACGGTTTCATTGAGACCCTGCGAGGCCGACGAGCCAAATGCCCCCCCCCCCCACGGCTCTGGCCTTTCTCCTCTGCTCGTCTCCGTCTCCACGCGTTGCGTGCTACCTTGCTACGCGGGGCACGGGTTATTTGGCTCTGGTATCCTTTTCTTCGTTGTTATGAACAATTAACGCTAACGTAATCAATCATCACTATTCGAGATGGTGTCAAGTTTCATAGCAGCACGAATGCCTCTACGTGCGACACAACCATCATACTCTTCAAATACGATATCTTTCCCTCAAGCAAAGTAAAACTTGAAAGCACCATTGCACAAAATCCACGTGGAGGTTTTGCGTTTGAAAACCTCCCGCTGTAGTTGCATTCTTTATGCCACATATGTTGTTCACCTTCAGTTTCTGCAGCATTGAGTTGACGCATCAAAGCTAAAAGCTTTTGTGTAGCAAGGCTTTCTGATTAGATTCAACAACTTAGATTCCAAGCGGCGTCTTCGATTTTGATGTTGTTGTAATCAATATTCCGATTTATGATAATATTCTTCGTAGATAATGAACTTAGGTAAGCACAGCCGACGAATAGAACGCATATTAAAAAGCATATAATAGGCGGTGACCATTGCAAATATTTTTTTTCGTAAAACCGATACACCAGCATAGCGAGAAGAAAGGAAACTGTCACTCCGACATAGGGATCTGAATCATTGCGCGATGCTAAATAAGTAAGTCGTCACAAAGAGGTTGGCCAAAAAACTCTTTGAGCAACAGATTATTTGAACATTGTTGAGGCATTTTGGAGCGAACACTGGATGGCAAAGAGAATTTTGATTTACCAGGTCATCCTCAAAGTTCGTTCGCACCATTTTCAAAATTCATAACTTCTGACTTTCCCAACCGATATGATTCTTCCATTTTTATCTGGAAGAGTAAAGAGTGAATCATGGTCTTCGTGATGATTTAGCGACTTACTAATGGCCATCAGTTGCATAGCTAGGAACGGTAAATGAAAATCACACAAATCTCAAATTTTCTATTCAGGGTCATAAAAAAATCTGGAACTTGCAAGTCGGAGCTGTCAGTTTTATAGTTCTATTACCTACTCACTCTGACAGTGCAAAGCTTGCGCCGATTGAGCGCCTCCACCAAAAGTCATGATACCCTATCCCGCATATAAGTCCGGGAAAAAATCGCCTAAAATCCCCTAAAACCGCCTTTTGAGGTGATTTTAGGCGATTTTAGGCGATTTTTTCCGGGACTTATATGCGGGATTTTAGGGTATTCGAGAATGCCAAAATAAATCAAAATTGTATTTTTTATTGCTTGCTCAGTAATCATAACTTTTCATAGAGATGTTCAATTAGCACAAGCTTTGCACAGTTAAAAAGAGCAGGTGATAGAAATTATTAGGTTGGCACATAAGTAATGCAACTTTTTATATAACTTTTGTCTATTTGAACGTAGCGCATTCATTTTTTGGCAGTATAAGGAATATGATGTAATCTTCTAATGCACACATTTTTGCCGAATTTTACCATCTTATGTGAGGATTACGGTAGGTTTACGGTACCATGGAAAAATTTTAGAATGCATCAGATTTTGCTGAAACTTGACCTATAGGGCTTATTTGACATGCTGATCACAAAAATGAGATTCGTTTCGCGTGAAAAAACCTCGTTCGTGAGATCAAAAGATGAATTTCATTTAAGCGACAAATAAATATGATATTCATGTTTACCGCATAAGATTACCTTATAGTGCAAAGTTATAGCAAATTCTGACTTTTCGCCGCTTAGTTATCAACAGATTGCCTTCAAAACTTGACGCATTTGACTTGTACAACTTCTCAAAGGCGCCCCACCTTAATTTGTGTTTAAATTTCATCTCTTTTTCACTGATTCCAATGTGCTAACTTCCAGCTACATGCTGCCTATAATTACTTTTTCATATGTTTGAATCAGGTTTCGTAGAGCTTCATGTTTGCCAAAAAATCGTGAAACCTCGATTTTCAGCAGTTTTCAAAAAATGCTTAGATTTTTTGTACTACGTTATCAAAAATCAAACGGTTTGCGCAGACTTGCAGCTTACATCACGATCTACATGATGGCACAAAATGAGATTGCTATATAAAATAGGAAAAAAGTTACGGGAAAAGTTGCAAAACTTATGTGCCAACCTAATATTACGCCGATTGCTCGATTTTTTTTCCCTAAACATAAAATATGAAACTTGAGTAATTTCCTTCTGTCGCTCCTATCTATGCAGCAGATGGCCATTAGTAAGCGGCTAGGTCATCATGATGAGAACATGATTTACTTTTTCACACAAATTAGAAGCAGTTGTATAGGTTGGAGAAATCAGAATTTATGAATTTTTGATTTGGTGGGAGCGAATTTTTAGGACAAGCTAATACTTCTTTAAGTGCTCTAAGACCTTTTCCACTTTTCTCGCACGAACCGTATTTGCTGTCAAACAATGCCAGCTACTAGTTAAAATAATGGGTTACATAAACCTACACGTCATCTGATGTTCCGAATATCTTATGTTTTGATCGTTTGCAGCCTTTGGAGTAAACGGAGATGCAGTTTAGTGTAAGCTAAACCTCTAAAAAGGAAGGTCCACTATTTATGAAGCTTTGTCGGCTGTGAGTCACACTGGCACACTTCGCTTTTTCCTGCTTCATAAAAAAATGTTCTAAATGTTTACAAATGAAAAATGTTCATTTGTAAACATTTAGACGACGTCAACCTGAGATCGGGCAACATTTTGCATCTCTGAAGTATGCATTTTTTCGGTGGCTTATCACTTTTTAATTTTAGTCCTAATGGATTTGCTGTGTTTGGGTAACTACTAACATCTCGAGGTAGACTAAGGCTTTGATGTTGCATCAAACAAAAGTTCTTCTTTTTATTAGGTTGTAGAGAAAGTTCCGGGGCCCTTTTGGAAATTTCATTTTCTGACGCATTTTTCTGGCGCTCGGTCGGACTTTGACGCAAAGTTTTTTTAGATTGTTCGATAGAAGGAAGTCTATACTTTTGAACCGCTTCCGATTTCCATCGATGCCAGAACTTGCTTTGATCTACAAATCATAAAGGAAATCTTTTTAACCATAGAAGTTTCACAATTCTTTTTTCTGTGGCCGTTTTTTGTGCATTTTGAGTAATTTCGTCCAAATCATGAGTGATGTTGTTGAGGAACCTGTGAATTTCTGACCCGCAGCTGCACTCGAGTTTTACTACCTGTGCTCAGGAACTACAAGCTTTCGAACTCGTACCTGACTGCATCTCTTTTCGCAGCTGGCGTCGCTTCTGCAGGGATCGCTGCGCCTGGATGATGATCCAAAAGATGTGTAAGGCAGTACTCCAACAATGTTCGCAGTAATCAAAGATTTGGTTCTCCCTGTGCAGAATGAGAAGACTTCAAAGCAACTTATTCGAGAAATGGTGCATTTTTGGGGGCAAAAATGGTCGATATTTCAAATTTTCTGGAAAAAACTTTTTTGCAGGTGGTCGCTCAGAGACTCAAATAGTTTCCATAATAGCCCCAGCAAACTTCCATACAACTGCAGCATCTGAGCTCTCCAGCTCTCATTAGGCCTGAGACAATCCTGCACAAATAGGCTACTTTTTGCGTCGGCCTTTTTCTCTTCTGCGCATGCTGGTGGTCCGCAGTGAGGTGCTGAAAAGCCAACAAGACGATTGCTAGTTGAGGACAAAATTGTCTTTGCAATGAAATCGGTAGCTTCGGAAAAGAATCAATTTGTTTGAATTTACAGCGATTTGAACAAAATTTTCGCAGGTGCCCGGGAACTTTCTCTACAGCCTTGAACAAAATTTTCGCAGGTGCCCGGGAACTTTCTCTACAGCCTAATATTACGGTAGTTACAAAATATCCGTTTTATATGTGATGCTGTAGGGAAAGGAGCGAACTCGCGAGTCTTTTTTGTCAGCTTGCTGGCGATTTCTGGCATTTGCAGTTTCCTAGCGCAAAACTAATTTTATGATTCCATTGATAAAAATAAAGTTGTAGCAAGAGCTCCAAAATGAGTGAAAAACGCTTTGACGCCTTTCTTCATTTTTGTTTGACACCCTTTCGAAAATTTTTGCGCTTTTGCCACCAAGCATTTGCGCTTGGACGTGACCTTCGTTCATTTTAGCGACTTTAGAGCTTCAATCAGCCTTCAAAGGAATACTGCTGCAAGTGTTCTTTGTGTAGAGTACTGCAACGTTTGTTAAAAAACTTGTTTTTGTTTTTGCCTCTCCTTGAGTTCCAGAAATCTTGTATTAGGAATTACAGACGACATTTGTATCACATAAACATCGTGATTTAATCCTCCTTCTACGTCAGATTCATTTTTCAAATCTACAACCACAACATGCTTGTCTTGTTATAGCCCGTCCGCGCTGTGCTGAGAGGGCAACGCTGTTGCGTTTATTGCACATAGTCCGTGGCTGGAAAAGACGCAGAGAAAAAAAGCAGCACAAATGCAAGAAAAAAGAGGAGTGGGACGCGAAGTATACAACTCCGGCCTTGCGCGGACGGCCTACATGAACGTGTGATGTCACTGTCACCCAGAAGCAGTTTTCAGCCAACCTGGATTCATGTAAAAGAAATGTGGCTAACTTAATGGGTCCTTGGGATAATAGTATTCCATTATAACGAGTACGGGCCAATGAATGAGATAAAGAGCATACGATATCTCTCCGACAAAGACCATCTCTTGCACAGTGAGTGCGGATACCTACGCAAAAAAATGTCCGTAAAATCCGTTTTCCCCGTTTTCGGTATAAAAAATTATAGCCAACCTTACGTTCTTTCCCTAATACGATCAGAATCCCTGTCATGATAGTAGTCTCTATACGAAGAAATCTCTTTGGTAACGGATGCCAGAAGAATGGTAGTAATATAGTGAGGATAAATACAAGCCAAGATGTGAAATCCAGCACAAAGCTAAAGTTCGTACGATGCTCTGAAAGCCACCATAAAGTTTATTCAACATGTCAAAAAAATCCCAACCTTCCATCTTTGAATTGTTGTCATCCTTGATCACTAGACTTGCTTCACTTTCGAGCTGTAAAAAAACAACTTTTGAAATTGTTCTTACGTAAACTCTGCATGAGATGGCTAGCTAAAATGTTTTCATGTAGTCTAGAAGAACAACTGTAAATGTCATACTCGATCTTCCTGCTGTTGCAGAGTGTAAACGCAAGACACCTCAAAATAAAATACAATACCGCACAATTTTTGAAGAAAAAAAGACGCAAAACGAAGTAGATTTAGGCGACCGTCACATAACTTACCGTCAGTCGCCTAAGTTATGTGACAATCGCCTAATTCATGTCACATCACCGTCGCGGAGGCATGTTTCGCTTCACAGTGGATGAATTCTAAATCCGAAGGCACATTCGATTCAGCTTGGCGCAGAGCATATTTTAATAAACTGGAATTGGGGTACGATGTCTTGGAATTCCGCGTCCAGTTCTCTCAAATTGTTCTGCGAAGGTTCTTTCGCGAAGATATGAAGCAGCTCCTATCGAAAGTAGAAGATTCCACTAAGTACTCTTCGATAATACTGTTCTCGTAAATTATCGTGCGCTAAAAGATAGCCTCAGATTTTTTCAAAAGAGATAGGAGCGTTGGTGAGCTCTCGAAAAATCGCGAGTTTCTATATTCTACTCGCCATATTTCTTCGGAAATATATTTCGAATCCGAAAAGAGCGCTGTACTCTGCTTATCAAGGCAAATCTTTCGGTATATGGCTCTTCTTCGATATTCCGATTTCAGTATTTCTGAATCTTCTTGCGGATGTCTCTTCGCAAAGGGGTAAAGTAGCTCGCATTGCGCCTAGTAGACTCCAGCAAGGATGAAATCTTTTCGCAAAGGGGTGAAGCAGCGCGCTCTGCGCCTAATAGAGTCTAGCAAGGATGACTCAACAGTATTATAAAGTTATGGAGCGCTAAAAACTACCCGCAGACTCTTTTCAAAGGAGATAGAAGGGCTTTTGAAGCTCTAGAATACGAAGCTATCTTGCTAAGCAGATGTGAGTTTCGTGGTTAGCAGGTTATATAACCTCTATGAGCGAATTTTCCAAAGAGTTCGGGCTTTTTAATTTTTCCTCGTTTTAGCCCCGAAACCTGCCCAATGGGTTCCTGCTCAAATATTGATGATCTTGGTTCCAAAAGGAAGCTCCGCTGGAGGTTTTTGAACACGCTGTTTAAAAAAATCGTGATCTTTGAAAAATGCAGAACCTTTTTGCGGAGGGTGAGGTAACTGTAACTGAGTCACGAAAGTTCGCAACTTCGCCTGCACTTCTCGTGTATCTGTCACAAAGCTTGCCTGCTCGCTTTTATAGTTTGAAGTTGCTAGGAACTGTACTATCGAATGGTGGATGTCTCAGGCTCTAACAGTCGCCGAGTTACGAGCCTACGAATACAGTTCCTAAAGAATTTTTTTAAATTGTAAATGTCGCATACTTCATCGAAGCACCGTGAGTGGTTCTGTGACATTCACTTCACTTCCTTAGTGGATCTTATTGTGTCAGATTTGGTAGTTTGAGCTCTAGCCACGAAGTTCTTTTGTTAATCAATTGAGGCAGCTGAAGCACATACGCAAGCTCCATTTTCAATAAGTGGGATCCATTGGACGACATTCACATTGCTAATATTATGTTCATGTTTAATGGATCCCACCGTATTGAATATGGGCCTGCGTGTGTGCTTCAGCTGCTCATTTGATTATTAAAACAATTTAGTAAAATTAGAGCTCAAACTACCAAATCTGACGCAACAAGATCCGCTAAGGATGTGAAAAGATTTCATCAACGTGTTGTACGGTGAAATATCGACAAAGTATGCGATCTTTACATTCGGAAGAAATTCATAAGGACGTGTTTTTGTAAGATCGCAACTCGGCGACGGGAAACGGAATTTACCTACCCGAGATATTCTCGCACCTCATGGGTGTGTGTCTGCGGGGTATAATTAGGCACAGCAAGCTCGCTGATTCCAGATTCTCCTCAGGATACAGCGCTAAGCTAAGCCTCGCCCACACATTGCACTTTTTTGGAATAGAACCAAAGCATGCCAGCAAGCTCGGCAATACCTGAGGCATCGAGGCTGGCTCAGCGCCAGAATGTGCTAAAAAGGGCTGCGAGGCTCAAAATGGAGTTATTGGAAAGAAAAATAGATGGTTTTCATCAGTAGGACTAGACAATCTGATCATGACTGATTTTACAGCACGGCATTGAGTGCCGAGTTAGAAGTATTCAGTTTTATAGAAAAAACCCATGATTCTAAAAATGAACTCATTCGATCGGTGATATGCAGCGTCATCAGTGATAGGATAACTAGCTGACCTTCATTGTCTTTTATCAATGAGTTTATATCCTCAAGGCATACTCTTTTCGCTAGGGAGATAGTTCATTCCTTTGTTTCGAAAAATAGGGAAAAAGTAGTTTGACATGCCAGTTTTAGGAAATGTCTAGACGAATCAACTCTTAACGTTTAACTTCACAAAGATATATATTGCTGGAAGATTGACAACTTGAAAAATACACAACTCAGTAAACAAAATAGTTATTTTACATGCGTCCTATGGCGTGCTTTATTTTTTCATCACTTTGTAAGCTGAAACTCGAGATAGTTTGTTGAAATTTCGGCTCTGTAATGAAAAGGCCGCGCAAAACTAATAGCATATTTGAAAAGAGCTCCTCAGAGAATCCCTGGATCTGTATTTTCATCGACTTTGAGCAGATATTGTTGCTGAACATCACTTTTGTGATTCCACTGAATTCGAGCGAAGAGTACGAGCGCGAGACGAGAAATATCAAATGACCCGAAATTCTTTGAAAACGAATTTGGGGCTACAAAATTTTAGCGGTTTATAATATACAAAGAGTAGTTTCGGAAGGTTCTGCTGAAATCTACGATGGGCCATGCGGGCCGCTTTACACCTTCGCGAAGAGACGTGCGCAGAAAGAATCAAAAATACTAAAATCCGAACCGATGTCATGCTTTATATAGAATTACTCGCCTTGATGAGCGCAGCACTTTTTTCGGATTCACAATGTACTTATTCCAAAAAAAGTTATGGCGAGTGGAATTTACCTGTGATTTTTGCAAAATTTGCCATCGCTCTATCTTTTTGAAAAAATATTAGGCTCTAACAGAATTAATGCAGGCTCTAAATTCCAACCGCAATAAGTCATACACTTCTCATTTCTAAGTAGGTTGCAAAATACCATTCGATAGAGCAAAGCAATCTCTATAAGGTGGCAATCTTGCTTTAGCAACAACTCTGAGCCACCACGAGTTTCGAGCCAAAAACTAAAAGGATTTGCCGTTCCCACATAAGTAGTTGTACACTACAGACCTGTAGAAGTCTAAACGTGAGTTTCCAGCTCTCTACAAGCTTTAGTTTTTGAAAAATTTGAATTTTAGTTTGGACCACATGACTAGCGAAAACGGTGTTCGATATTTTTCGAGGACTAAAGCTTGTAGAGAGCTGGAAACTCACGTTTATACTTCTACAGGTCTATAGTATACAACTACTTATGTGGGAACGGCACAGTAACACTTTGGCAAACGCACGAAAATTTCCGTTTTCTTGATTTCTAACAGAGAAAAAATACGGCAAAGGCGTGTATAGATATTATATGTGAATAATGTTTACGTGATCAAGTTAGAATTTTTGTAGGCTTTTTATGAGCTGAGTTACGATTTTTTCTCAATTTTTTGGACAGTTGAATCCTTTTAGTTTTTGGCTCGAAACTCGTGGTGGATCAGAGTTGTTGCTAAAGCAAGATTGCCACCTTATAGAGATTGCTTTGCTCTATCGAATGGTATTTTGCAACCTACTTAGAAATGAGAAGTGTATGACTTATTGCGGTTGGAATTCAAAACCTTATGAAGTATCTTTTAGCGCATGGTAATCTTCGAGAACAGCATTATAAGAGTACTTAATAAATATTCTACTTCGATAAGCGCTGCTTCATATCTCCGCAGAAGGACCTCCGCAGAACAATTTTAGAGAAGTGGGTACGGAATATCAAAGATATCGTACCCCCCCCCCCATTTCCAGTTTATCAAATGGTGGATGCTTCGCGCCGAGCTAAGTCGAATGGTGGCTTCGGATGTAGAATTCGTCCACTCTGAAGCAAGACATGTCTACGCGGCGGTAATGTGACATGAATTAGGCGTCCGTCACATAACTCACGCGACCGTCACATAACTCAAGCTAACTAACTCGCATGAGTTAGGCTTAGGTCGTCGCGGTCACGACACCTTCGCGCCTGATTTCTGAATTACGACCAATTACACACTTATTGCATATCTATGTGCCTGCTACGGCGCTTGTGATAGTCGTCCGACGCGAGAGATCGCGGACCCTTTCTAGCTAGGGCATAGTTCTGTAGCGATAATCGCCACGATCTCGGCAAAACTCAGCGATGCCGCGTCGCGTGTGCCGTGCAGGCACTGGGCGATATTGCTGAGGGGGGGAGGAGACGTCGAGAGTTTTTCTTTGTAAAGATGCGTTAATGTTTCGGCGCGTTTTTGTTTGGAGAAGAAGTCAATCTCATGTGAAGTAGTTACGCGAAAAAAACTCCGAGCTTTGTCGATTTCCGTCGTGATTATGATTTGTTCAAGTTCTCCGTTTTTTGGATTCTGAGCTGTTTGTTTTTGAAGTGTTTTTTTTGGTGATAGCAGTAATGAGGTAATTTTTTGAACATAGTAAATGCATCTCATTATCTTGCCTAATTGGAAGTTTTCATGTCTTTGCTATTCACACAAATGCGAGAGAATTTTCGCCTTCGTTACTAGTCCAACACTATAAAGCAGTATGTTTGTGTTTTTCGCTGTCTTTGTGCTATGCTTCATTTTTCTCAAAAAGGTCATTGTCAATTTCTGCCAAAGAAATACAAGAGCCACGTCATAATTCTGATCTCATTTCTTTGTGACATGTTACGGCAAGCACTTAGTGAATTCGAAGTGTAGCTGCTAATTTCAAAAAGCCAAATTCGCAGACATGTTGAAGAAATGGAGTTAGAGATTCTTTATAATTGTATTTCATCAC